TTGGGGTTTAGTCCACTTCTATATCCTTCCCTTCAAGGCTCAGGGGTCCAGAATTCTGTGTCTGTGTTAATTGGTTTCCCTTTTCTTTGTTGAAGAGGGTCTGTGCAGTCTTTCTGCCTAGTCCACCCTCTTGCCGGATCTCCTCGAGAGCATTTTCAACTAAGCTAAAATAAGTCATGTGTCTAAGTTAAATTTCATTATCTGGGTCCTTTGGCTAAGGTGTATTCTGAGGTAACCTTTAGGAAAAGTATCCAAAAACTGCAACTTGCTGGCAGAAATTCTACAGAATCTGAAGTTTTTTAAAAAAATTATTTATTTTAAGTATCATGTGTCCAACAGTCAGTTTAGCAAGAAGGCATGTGAAGAAAGTGACTGTGAACTTCATGTTTATTTTTAGGTCGACTGTACACAGCACTATGAACTCTGCTCTGGAAACCAAGTCCGTGGCTACCCAACTCTCCTCTGGTTCCGAGACGGCAAGAAGGTGAGGCTTCAGTTCTTGATGCTGGGACAATTATCATACTCTTAACCAAAATGGTACAAGTTGTTGAGTGTTTGAAGCAAATTGTTAGGATTGTTGGTTAGGCAGTAGCTTGGCAATATCTTCCTTTTAATTGAAGAGATTTGGGTAGCTGAGAACTCAAAGATGCCAGATATTATGCTATTTTAAGACTTATTAGGTTGGGTTATTGCTAGATTAACCAGACTCTCCAGTCATAGTGTGACTGTGCCCTGACCATGAACACACATCTTCCAGGCCTCTTGGTCATGGTGCAGTTACTGCCTACTTCTCTCAGGCTTCATCATGTCCCAGCTGATGTTGTATTCTTTTAGGGTATAGCAGGGTCTTGAAGCTCCCTGGAAGCTGTTAACCCTGCACTTTACTGACTCCTGACCACAGAATGGCATTACTGATGCCAAAGCATTTGGTGCATAATTTATGCTATATTATTTAAATTTGGAGGAGTCCTGGTGGCACAGTGGTTAAGTGCTTGGCTGCCAACTGAAGGGTCAGGCAGTTTGAACCTACAAGCTGGTCTATGGAATAGGATGTGGCATTCTGCTTCCGTAAAGATTACCGCCTTGGAAACCCTATAGGACAAGTTCTTCTCTGTCCTTATAGGGTCACTAGGAATCAAAATTGACTGGATAGCAGTGAGGCTATTTTTTGTTTGTTTTTATTTAAGCTTGGGCATGCAAACATTGTACGGCGTGAGTGACAGTGGCTAAGACATCTCATGGGAGTCTTCAGTGGGTGTGGGGGATGGGGGAAAGGTATAACTTTAACTGATTTAGAGCACTTCAGTGTACTAATCAGCAGGATGTTTTTGTGGGGTCTCTGACAGATTGATCAGTACAAAGGAAAGAGGGACTTGGAGTCGCTGAGAGAGTACGTGGAGTCACAGCTGCAGAGTCCAGAGACAGAGGCTACAGAGACCACTGAGCCTTCTGAGGCCCCAAAACTGGCTGCAGAGCCTGCTGCAGATGAGGTGAGTGCCATCAAAGACGGGACTGTAGAAATGGTCCACCCCACCCCCTGCCCTTGAATGCACTCTCCTCATACGCTTTGGACAGAATCACAGTTTGGGGACAGTAAAGAATAATTCAGGAGTCTCTGGGTGGTGCATATGGTCAATGCATTTGGCTGCTAACCAAAGGGATAGAGATTTGAGTCCATCAGAGGTGCCTTGGAAGAAAGGCCTGATGATCTACTTTCAAAAAATCAGCCATTGAAAACCATGGAGCAGTTCTACTCTGTCACCTTGAGTCAGAGTCAACTCAGTGGCCACTGATTTTTAAAGACTAGTTCTGAGGATTGGCTACATCACATGTGTTAACACAAAATATTTTCTTTAATTTTACATGCCTGTAAGCGTAAGTGTAAATAAAAGCTTCTCTTTTAAAACCCTGAAATAGGTATGAGGTAAATCCTGAAGCAGTATTTGGTGTCCAAATCTCTAGAAAATTCTCCTTTTCAGTTTCATTAATTTGGGGGAATGACTGTGTTTGACGGCATTTGCTATGAAATCATGGCTGCTGCCATAACCTGTTTTGACATTTTACTTTAACACTGTGGTATACCCCTGGTCAATGTTCAACCATTTCAGGAGGCAACATATGGTCAAGAACAAATGGTATTGAAGAAGTACAAGTTGCACTGATGGTATTGGCAAAAAATAAGGCTACAGGAATTGACAGAATACCCATTGAGATGTTTCAACAAACAGATGTAGCTCTGGAGATACTTGCTCGTTTCTGCCAAGAAATTTGGAAGACAGCTACCTGGCTAACTGATTGGAAGAGATCCATATTTGTGCCTATTCCAAAGAAAGGTGATCCAACAGAATGTAGAAATTATTGAACAATTATCATTAACATCACACACAAAATTTTGCTGAAGATAATTCAATAATGGTTGCAACAGTATATTGACAGGGAACAGCCAGAAATTCAAGCTGGATTCAGAAAAGGGCAAGGAATGAGGGATATCTCTGCTGATGTCAGATGGATCTTGGCTAAAAGCAAAGAATAGCAGAAAGTTGTTTACTTGTGTTTTATTGACTAAGCAAAAGCATTCAACTGTGTGGTTCATAACAAATTATGGATAACACTGTGAAGAATGAAAATTCCAGAACACTTAATTGTGCTCATAGGGTAACTGTACATAGACCAAGAGGCAGTTGGAACAAAATTAGGAAATGTGTGAGTCAGGGTTGTATCCTTTCATGTACTTTTTCGGTCTATGTGCTGAACAAATAATCTGAGAAACTCAACTATATGAGGAAGAACATGGGATCAGGATTGGGGGAAGACTCATTAACTACTTGTGATATGCAGCTGACACAATCATGCTTGCTTGAAAGTGAAGATCACTTGAAGCACTAACTGATGAAGATCAAAGACCAGGCTTCGATATGGATTGCACCTCACCATAAAGAAAACTATAATCTTCACAATGGGACCAATAGCAGTATTATGATAAATGGAAAAAAGATTGAAGTTGTCAAAGGGTTTATTTTACTTGGAGTCACAGTCAACAAAATGGATTGACACAGGGACTGCAATGGTGGGCTCAAGCATAGCACAGATTGTGAGGATGGCACAGGACCAGGCAGTATTTCGTTGTGTTGTACACAGGGTCTTTATGAGTTGGAGCCTACTTGACGGCACCTAACAACAATGACCACAATCAGCATCCATGGAAAGCAGCAGTCAGGAAATCAGAGGATGTATTGCACTAGGCAAATATGCTGCAAAAGATCTCTTTAATGTGTGAAAGAGCAAAGATGTCACATTAAAGACTAAGGTGTACCTGACCCAAGCCATGTACATGTGAAACCTGGACAACGAATAAGGAAAAACTGAAGAAGAATTGATGCATTTGAATTGTGGTGTTGGTGAAGAATATTGAAAATATCACGGACTGCCAAAAGAATGAACAAGTCTGTCTTGAAAGAAGTACAGCTGGAATGCTCCTTAGAGGTGAGATGTGATGACCAGGTCAATAAGCAACATCATGATAAATGGAGAAAAGATTGAAGGTGTCAGGGATTTCATTTTACTTGGATTCACAGTAAGATGGACCCACACAGTGGTGCAATGATGGGCTCAAGCATAGCAAGGATTGTGAGGATGACATAAGACCGTTCTCTTGTACACAGGGTTACTGTGAGTTGGAACCTATTTGACAGAACCTAACAACAACAACATGGCTCCTGAAAGAGCTGCAGCAGAGAGGGTTTGTTGCAATGGTGTTGAAAGCAACCCATTGTAGACTTTTTGATTTATTTGGCAATCCTCACCATATTGGAGGTTAGAGTTATTCATTCAGACATTGCAAAGGTTTTAGATTCATTCATTTTGCATTGCCAAGCACACATTATGTTTCAGGCACTGTAGTTGGTTATCAGGAAGGAAAACCATTTTCTTGCCTGACAAGTTGGGGAGATAGATACAAACACATACTGCATGTGTTCCCAGGGCTATGATAAAAGTACATGCAGGGCCCTTCATGATTGATTGAGAGAAGTGGGAGCAGATAGGCAGCAAGTGTCACTGAGGAGCTGCCAGATGATGCAGTGATTGCTGGGTAGGTAGGCAAGGAAGGCTTGCCAAGTGGAGGGGCTGCATGGGAAACAGCCAGCATATTTAGGTCAGGCCTGTAGGTGGGGACTGGGGAACAGCATGCAAAGGAGGACACAGTGCAACGTTGGGAGCCAGGAGAGTTGCTGGTAACAGCTGGATCCTAGGGGCCTTTGTTGGCTGCCTAAGGATTCTGTACTTTATTCTGTGTCTATATGGAACCATTGAAGGGTTTCAAGCAGATTTGAATTTTAGAAAGATGACTGGCAACTACATATGTGATAGAGATATAAAACTGTTGTATGAGGCCAAGAAAGACAGTGAAGCCAAGCAGTGACAATGAGGTGGAGAGAAGAAAAAGCAGGTGTAAGGGATCTAGGACTCCTGAGTGCAGCTGTTGAAGGGTGGGAGGTGAAGGAGTGAGAGGGATGGAGGGACTACCCGAGGGAAGGGCCAGGGGGAAGGTATGATGAGCTGCTTTCAAGATGCTGGTTCTCAGGGCTGTGGGGAAGATATTTCAGGAGCTCTGGTGGTGTAGTGCCTAAAACATTTGACTGCTAACCAGAAGGCTGGTGGTTCAAACCCACCAGACACTCCTCAGAAGGAAGGTTGGGTAATCTACTTCCATAGTGATGTCACCTTGGAAACCCAAGGAGGGGTTGCTATGAGTTGGATCTGACTTGAGAATGCAGCTGTTGAAGGGTGAGAGGGGAAGGAGTGGGACAGGTGGAGGGACTACCAGAGGGAAAGGCCAGGGGGACAGCATATGAGCTGTTTTCAAGATGCTGATCCTCAGGGGTGTGGGGAAGATATTTAGGACATGGCAACGAAGCCTGGTTGGTACAAATGGTTTGCAGTTGGCTGCTGGTGTAGTTGGTAAGGCATTTGGGTGCTAACCAGAACATTGGTGGTTCATACTCATCAGCTGTTCCACAGGAGGAAGATGAGGCAGTCTATTTCCGTAAAGATATACGGACTTAAAAACCCAGTGGGAGTCACTATGAGTCAGAATTGACTCAGTGGCAGTGGGTTTTGGGGCTAATATAAAGGTTTTTGAGCTAACCCACTCAGTGGTTCTATGGAAGAAAGTTCTTGCAAACTGCTTCTATAAAGATTACAAACCAAGAAAACTCTGTGGAGGTCAGTTCTCTGTTAACATGTGGGGTCACCATTAGTTGGAATCAACTTGATAGCTCTGGGTTTTGGTTTGTTTGTTTGTCTGTCTAATGTAAAGTTAAATGTATAGTTATAGAGCTCAGGCTGGATGATTGAGTTCATGTCTCCTGCACTTTAGGAGAAGCTGATGCTGAAGCTGTGGGTGAGAATGAGATTATTTGAAAACAAAAACCAAACCCACTGCCGTGGAGTCGATTCTGACTCATGGCAACCCTATGCAATAGAGTAGAACTGCCTCATCTTTTCCCACAGTGTGACTGATGGGATTGAACTTTCGATTAGTATCTAAGTGCTTTAACTACCATGGAGATTATTTGCAGGGAATTACAAGGTGTTTTCCCAGGAAAACAGTGCCTGGATTTCCTGCCTAATACCCATTAAGTCCTGTTGATCAACATACTTCCAAAGCAGAACACTTAAATTGTGTTTACGCTACTTCAGTTCACACAGTATACTTCAGAGCAGGCCAAGCTCTTACTTGGGGCACGGGGACATTTGGGCAGAGGAAGGGGCAGTATGCCTTTGTTCCCTAGGGTGGGTGTGGGGTGCCAGGTGTGTTGTGAACACCTCTCCAGGAACTCTTAAGCCCTCGACATTTATACAAGTGAATGAGACTTCCTGGGGCCATCTCTCCCAGGGATGTGTTTGGAATTGGAAAAATCCATGGAGCCACCTACCCCTTCCTCCTTGGGTAAGAACAGGACCAGGCTTCCTCACCCCCATGGCCCATTCCTCAGCTGGGTGCTTGTAGGCTGGGGATGGCCTGGCTGTTAGTTAAAAAAGCCAAAGCTTTGGTTTATGAAGTAAACACATGACTTTGTAGTTATGACCATGTATGTTGAGGAGTGTATGTGTCATGGTGGTTATAAAAGGTCATCCCAAATTAAGTGTAATTATATGCTATGAATGTTTTCATCAAACCTAGAGCTACTTCTATTTATAATAAAGTTTTCCACCATTAAGTGGGTCTTTCAGTGTGTGAGGCATAATATTTCTGGATGTTAAGAAAGATGGCAGTGTTCCACAATGGCCTGCCTAGCAGGACTTCCTTCCCACCTCTCACATATGTTAGCGGGTACCCTACTCAAGTGAAGCAACCTGAGAACAGTCAGCCACATGCTCAGTCACCTGTATTCTTACTCTCATGAGAGAATCACAGATTTACTTTGGAGAAATACCAGTATCATTGCTGGCAAGTTGACTCTGACTCCTGGTAACCCAGTGTGTCAGAGTAGATCTGCATTCCATAGGGTTGTGAAGGGTTCATTTTGTTCAGAAGTGGATCATCAGGACTTTCTTTCACAGTGCCTCTGGGTGGACTGGAACCTCCAGTCTTTTGGTTAGCAGTTGAGCCTGCACGTAGACCTAATTCTTCCAGTAACAGTCAAGATAGAGCCACTCACTGTAAAAGCACACTACCTTTTGGCACCTCTCCCATAAGTCTTCCCACCAGAGCTTAAAATAATACATATTTGTGAAAACACTTCTCATGGGAGATCAGACCTGCGCCCCTTGAGGGTAATAAGTTTTAGGAGTTGTGCAAAGTCCTGTGCACCTTATCATAGCAGTTCTTGGGAGGTTAACACTTTTCACATTTTCTTTGAGAGTTTAAAAATGAAGCCTGCTATGTGTAAAATACCTATCCTGGCCTGTGCTCTTATAACTGCTGTTGTTGGCTGCCATCTAATTGTCTCCATCTCATGATGACCCCATGTACAACAGAAAAAAACACTGCCTGGTCTTATGTCATCCTCACAATTGCCAGCATGTTTGAGTTCATCACTGCAGTGCCCATTGGCTCAGATGACATGGTTTCTACGAGGAACTTTCTGCCCTTCAGCAGCCACGACCCTGCTTTTTGTATAGCTTGTGAAAGATTAGTTGTACAGGCATTTTTGTGGGACCTTGGTAAATTCACGACAATGCTGTTTTTAAATTATTGATGTACATTTCTGCCATCCCAAAGCATGGACTGTTCTGTGACTGGTATGTCTGAACTCTTTCCTTTCTCCCTTCTCCAAAGGGCACTGTGTTGGTACTCACTGAAAGTAACTTTGATGACACCATTGCAGAGGGAATCACCTTCATCAAGTTCTATGCTCCATGGTAAGTGGCTGTTCATTAGAAACGATCTTCTCCTTCTGTACTTAAGTCTCCTGATTGTTTTCAACTTGTTAACCAACCCTTCAGAAGCAATGTTGGGCATCTGTTACTTCACATCAGTGGGAAGAAGGGTGAAGAGAGGGGGACTTGCCTACCCGTGTGTTGAGGAGGTCACATTGTTGGATGTAAGGAAGTGCTGTTATTCTGCTCGTGTCTTCAGATATGTTAAAGAGCAGTGGCATTCAGATAATTAATAGAGAATGAGAGTCACTTATGTTAAAGTTCAATGCTCTTTGGAGAAGACATAAATATGGAGGAAAAGAATTAATGCTGGCCATACAAAACATCAAGTTTGGTGGTATCTGTGTACTTTTCTAAATAGATAATTTTTTTGGTTAAAGAGTGAACATGATGATAGAGCTTTGCTTCTCGGTCTTTTAAATCACGTGGTACGGAAACCCAGTACAGCTCTGCTTCCAATATGTTGCTCAAAGACTTGAATACTCAGTTTGTTGTTCAAAGACTTGGACCTCCTGCTACATAGTCCTTGGGGTCCAGAGCATAAAATGGCTGCTGGTAGCTAGATACCAAAACAACCTGCAGAGTGGGTAGATGGTGGGATTGGAACTACAGAGCTGAAGATGGGTCCTAAGACTCATCGTTAACTAACAATAACTTTGGGTGGCCTTTGATTCCTTTGAACCTGCTTTCTCAGCTGTAAAACAGGAACAGTACTGGCTTCACAAATACAACTGTCCATTTGGAAAAGCAGGGTATTTAGGAGCGTTTTGGAGTTTTTAGATAAACATAAAAAGGTCAATAGGTGTCATTTTTGCTCTTCACTTGGTTACAGGCATTCATGAGAAACTGTAACAGCAGAGAGAGAAAGTTAATAAGCCCATGACTTCTATGACTTGTGCAGTTTTTAGTGTTAAAGAGTTGAAATATTAGTAAATGCCTTAAGTTGAATATTTTCCACTTTTCAGAAAACTAAAGCTGTATAGCTCAGGTGTAAAGGAGCACTATTTGAAGGGGAGCAGTTCATATAATGGGGAGAGGGTCAGAAAAGGAAAGGAAATAAAATGGGTAGTAGGGAGGGTTTAAACAAAACTTAGTAAGTGGCTACAAAGCTCACACCAAATCACTGAAGCTTAAAAGAAGTTTTGAAGTTGTTTTGCAATTTTGAGACCATAAGCAGTCAAGTTGAAAGTATTCTGGAATTCAAGTGATTTTTTAAAAATGTATGGAGTATATTTTGGGTCCTGCTCATTTCCTTCTGTTCATATGTGTTCATAAACTACTGAGTGTAGTTTACCATGCCAGGGAAATGGTCTCGAGAATTTATACTTGTTTATAGATCAGCTTGCTTCTGCAGGTGAACCAAAAGTCTACTTCTGGATTCCTTATTTGGGATAGGAAGAGAAAGAGGAGGGGGAAGAAAAGTTAGTGTGTGCCCACTGGAAGAATTCCATGTTTTTTAAACTTCCAGGCAATTGTTAACTGTCTTGTACTAAAGAAACAAGGCTTGGCTTGGCCGGTGAAGGAGCTTGACCTAAGACAGCAACAGAACTGACATTATTGTGTTCCTAGGTGTGGTCACTGTAAGAATCTGGCTCCTACTTGGCAGGAACTCTCTAAAAAGGAATTCCCTGGTTTGGCAGCAGTCAAGATAGCTGAAGTGGACTGTACTGCTGAGCGGAATATTTGCAGCAAATACTCGGTAGGTATACACAGACGAACACATTTAGGGTGACTAAATGTCGTTAGCAGGTGCCAAGTGGCACTGTAATTTGGTGTTGTGAACTCAACCCATGATCATTCACACTGCCTTCATTCTTTCAACAAAATATTTTATGTTTCCTCTTGAGATTTTTGTTTTTTGGAGAGGCAAAAGATGTTCTCCCAAGGGAAAGGCTTTATTTTTCTCTGTTATTAATTAGCGCATGTTTTTCAATGGAGTTTACTTAGGCCTTGCCTTTTGGGTATGAGGCTCGACAGTAGCTAAGTGAAGGACATATTAGAACATAAGCCTCCTTCTGGGGGAGCCTTGCCTGCAAACTAGGCTTGTGCTTGGGCTGCCTTTACTCAGGGCTGTCAGCACAGCCTGTGAGCATGTAATGCAGCCTAGAAGAATTTAATTTCTTTTTGTGTTATTGTCTTAAATACTTGTGGGGCCAGGTGATACAAATTGTTGAGTGTTCAACTACTCATGCTTGGTTTACATCTACCCAGGGGTACCTCAGAAGAGAGCCTTAGTGATCTATTTCCAAAAAGTCATAACCATTGAAAATCCCATGGCACTCAGTTCCACTCTGACATATACTGAGTCCCTGTGAGTTAGAATTGAGTTGATGGCAATTGGTTTTGTTTTGTTTAGTTTTTATGAGTTGGTACCAATGCACTGTGTAAATTCAAGAGTGGCAGAGAAAGGAGGAGTTTCAGGTATACTCAGTGGCAACTGATTGGTTAAAGTATACTACCTCCTTAGATTAAGAATAAATGGAGCACAAACATAGTTTACTTATCTTTGTTGTTGTCAGGTGCTGTTGAGTCTGTTCCAACTCATAGTAACCTTGTTTACTACAGATTGGTAGTTTACAACAGAATGAAACACTTCCTGTTCCTGCACTATCCTCACAGTTGCTGCGATGTGTTGCAGCCACTGTGTCAATCCATTCTCACTGAGGGTCTTTCTCTTCCTCGATGACTCTTTACCAAGCATAATGTCCTTGATTTGTCCCTCCTGATAACATGTCATGAAATCTCACCAGCCTCATTTCTAAGGAGTACTCTGGCTGTACTTCTTTTAAGACAAATTTGTTTGTTCCTTGGAGTCCATGTTAATATTCGGTGTTCTTCGCCAACACCATAATTCAGAAGCATCAATTCTTCAGTCTTCCCTTATTCATTGTTCAGCTTTTACATGCATATGAAGTGACTGAAAATATCATGGCTTGGGTGAGGTACACCTTAGTCCTCAAAGTGACATCTTTCTTTTTAACACTTTGAAGAGGTCTTTTGCCACAAATGCAATACATCATTTGATTTCTTGACTGCTGCTTCCATGGGAAGTCATTGTGGATCCAAGTAAAATGGAACCCTTGACAACTTCAGTGTTCTAAGTTTATCATGATGATGCTTTTTGGTCTGGTTGTGAGCATCTTTGTTTTCTGTATATTGAGGTGTAACCCATACTGAAAGGTATAGTTTTATCATTAGTTATCATTAATAGACCAAAAAACAAATTTGTTGTCATCAAGTTGAATCCTACTCATAGTGACCATATAGGATAGAATAGAACTGCCCCATAGGGTTTCCAAGGCTGTAATCTTTGTGAAAGCAGATTGCCAGGTCTTTTCTCCCATGAATTCCAACCACCCCTTCAATTAGCAGCAGCTGAGCACTTAACCATTGCACCACCAAGACTTCTTCATTAGTAGACACCAGGAGTTATTTATGCCTTCACATTCTTAAGATACCCAAAGAGAGAGGTAGAATACAGCTAAAAAGTGTGCATCCTTAAGAATCTTGCTGCTGCTCGCTGTGTGGCCCACTGACCATAATGGGCACCTCCCAGAAACTTATCCAAAATGCAGAATCTCAGGCCTGCTCTGACCTGCTGAATCAGAATTGGTATTTTAACAAGTTCTCAGGTTTTAGTGGGTACTTTTCAGATTGAGAACCACTGCCTTGGGATAAAGTGATTCCTCTGACACTACTCTTCAGTGTAGCTTTGGATGCAAAAGTGAACACAGAGTCCAAAGGCTTTGATTGTTAATGTGTTTAGTCCTCTTTTTTTTTTTTTTTTTTTAATACATCTTTAAAATTTGGTCATAGAATTTCCCAGTTACAGCTGTAGGAGGTTATCTGGATTCATTTAAGAAGCAATTTGTGTATATTTTCACACTTTTTTTTTTTGAAGGTACGAGGCTATCCCACGTTGCTGCTTTTCCGAGCAGGAAAGAAAGTCAGTGAACACAATGGCGGTAGGGACCTTGAGTCATTGCACCATTTTGTCCTGCGTCAGGCAAAAGATGAACTGTAAGAACCCAGTGAAAGTCGCCTCTGCCACCTAGCCACCTCTACCCAGTGCATAGGACTTAAATCGTACTGATGTTGCTGAGTTGCAAATGGTGGTTCTTCAGAAAGCTGAATGTACTAAATTTGTGGTATCTTCTTTGTGTGTGTGTTTTTAAGCCAACAACCATAAGGATTCTTTAAGTTTCTCTAAGTAAATGTGTAACCCATGGTCACTGTGCAAACTAAATACTTTCAGCGGCAATACATCCCCTTTGACCTTCTCTTGATGAAATTTAAATGGTTTCCTTTGAGCCTAAAATAGAGTTGAGGAAAATCAAATTGGTAGACTGTTTTTGGCTTTGGAGTGATTTTGGTGAAAGCATCATGACAAGCATAGTTTTGAACTGCGCATGAGCACTAGAAGGATGCCTGTGACAGTATTGATGTTCTTCTGACCTGAAGGTCTTAACTGGCTTGTTAATCAGTAACTTGGAACAGATTGGGAAACAAAAAACCCACACCTCTAGAAGATACCTTTACCACCACTGCTGGAATTTCTGCTTCTGTTACTGACGTTCTTCTCAGGAGAGGTCAGCCACATGACAGCAGCAGTATTTCTGACATGTGCCTGAGTAAGTTAAATGCTGATGCCATAATTTCATGTGTGTGTCTATTTGTCAGATCAGTTATAATTGATCAAGGGATACTGTTGTTTGTTTCTTATGGCTGGAAGATTTCTTTAGTTCTTTATGTTAACAATAAGCCAGAGTCCAGGTAGACTTTAAAATGAATAGTCTCCCACAGAAAATGTGGACATGGGACATTCCACAAGGTTTGTCCTGACGATTCTGTTAACTCATAAGAAAGATGCTGGTTGTATCTGTCACGTTGGGTATTGGGAACATAAGGACTCTTCCTTGGTCTGAGTGTCCAGGGACCAGGGAGACCTTATGGCCCTTCAGAGGGTCCTAACTGGAAGCAGTTTCAGATTTTGTTCTTAAAGCACAAGCAGCCCTTTTAGGGGCTTGCTATATGTTGTCTGCCTTTGAGGAGGTTGACCTTTTATGTATCAAGAGTGGGAATTACTTTGACCTCAAGACCAAAGACTGAATGAGGCAGGGCTGTCTTCCAGTCCTTTTTAATGCCCTTTCAGCCTGTGCTGTACAGGTTATTACATTTCTAATGTCACCCTTGGAAGTAACCTATTGTAGGCCTCAGATCCCTTAGGAGATACAAGTGTGTTCTTTACCATCAAGTTACTTCCTAAGATAACCACCTTGTGTCTGACACCCTTCATCCCACCTACACACACAGGGTGATGTTGTCATTTGGCCCAAAGTAACTGGTGGTGAGACTCTCAGAAAAAGGACTACTTTATACTGGAAGGCAGAAGATCACAGAACAACATCTCTACTAGCCTCTGCCTTACAGGAAATCTTTATTAATCACGTATAGTTCATGGATGTTCTTTAAAAACTCCAACTTTAGGGAAGCGCACAGTCCTCATGAGTGACTTCAGCTTGCCATCATGAGTCTTGTATTAAGGGAAAATCAAAATGGTACAATTTGTTTACACAATGATACTTTCTATCTAAATAAACTCTTTTTTTAAAAAGTCTAGTCTTTCCTTAAATGTTACAGCAACACAGATATAAAATAGACAATAAATTATAGTTTATATTTACAAAAAAAGCTGTAAGTGCAAACAGTTAAAGATTATAAATGTATTATTTAATCAGTTTAGTATGAAATTGATTTCCTACTACATGATTGTGAAAAAGATATTTAAAAAATATTCTAAGATTTACTCTGAGCCTTTCTTTCTACAGGTGAAAATTGTGCTTTTGGTTCATAAACAACACACTCACCCAAACTTGTTCTTAAAGGATGGTTGGTTGCCCCTTCCTCACTTTATGTCCTTTATTGGTTCTAATCCCAGGACATAGTATGCTGTATAGTATACTATGTATATATGGCAAAGAACCATTTTACTAAAATAGATGAGACGTTCAAGCCAGTGTTCCAGAAGTCATTGTGCTTTTCAGAGAGCCATCCAATAAAAAAGAGGTGCAGCACTGCTTTCACACGTCACATAGCTAAAACGAAGATGTTTAAGAACGCTGCTCACGTCAAAGCATGATTGGTCTGCTCTTGGTACTTTATAATATGGCAAAAGGTACAGCATATAGGAGGATCGGGGTGCACAGATGACATTGTCAGTTTTGAGTGAAATAAGTGTATTTTCACCCCAACCAAGCTCCAGCACAAACACATAGTGGCAGGCCTCTGAGACAAAAGGCACTTCCAAATGGCCCAGGTTACAGCCCAAACTATTGACCTTCTGTGAAATTGGCCTTCCTGGAAATAAAAGCTATGGATAGAGGCATTTCCCAAATTTCTGTTATCTGTAAAATCTTCCTTTGGCAGACACTACTGAAATGACTGATGCATTCAGACTAGTTTTACTCCTTTAAGATTATTTTCCCTATTTACTCACTAATACCACAAATAGCTTGATCTAAAGATAAAACTAATTTTGGTGGGCTTTTCTTGGGAGAACCCTTCAAAGTTATGCTACTGAAGTTGACCGACATACTCAGTTTCCTATAAACCAACTAGTTCTGTTATTTACCAAGTAAGCGAATTATTAGCAAAATCCTTGAAAGTCTTTCTTGGGCAGTAAGGCACTGGCAGGTGAGTGATTCAAAGTCTCATTCCTTTTTCACCACACTTCTGTGTGTGTGTGTGTTTTATACTCCTGTATGTTTTTAAGGCCGATATAATCCAGGGATCCTAGGCAGAATTTGTGTGTCCCTAGTAACTAACTTCAAGTCAGTGGCATCCACAAGCTCTTACAACCATGTTCCTGTATTTTTTCAGAATGACATTGGAGTTGTCATCAAAGTAGAGAACCGAGATGGCATTTAGTTTAGTTGGTGCGCAGCACGGTTTGGGGACATACTCAGGATTCATAAGGTGGACCTGTTCCAAAACAGAAGAGAGAAAAGATACCACTATAAGCTCCGTGTGGTCTTGGCTGACTTCTACTCACAAAGTTCAGAATCTCCACGAGCTCACCAGGGTCTGCACGATGGCATGATTCGTTGCGTTCATGTGTGCATTGAGGGGGAAGGAACATTCTCCATCACAGTAATTGGCAGCATAGCCCTTGGGTGCGATTATCCAGTCCTTCATTAAAGCAAAAAGAAGCAAACAACAGAAAACATGCATGCATTACATTATCTCTTCTGCATTGAACAGATAAGGAAACAGATGTGGGGAGGTGGTTATGTTTTTGTCCAAGGTCACACTGAAGTGTCAAAACAGGTTTGAACCTAGTCTGACTTAAGCCCTGACTGTTTCCACATGCCCACCCTACCTCCAGCTGCTACATGCCGTGTGCCTGAAAGCATGTAGGTGGTCATCTTATACTTGAACCCAAAGGCACATCCAGAAGACCACAGTACTCCTGCCATCACGATGCCACCTGCATATTGAAGCTGTGTGTTCTGTCGCTCATCACCTGTAATTAAATTGGCTTCTTTCCTTATAGACTAGTGGTGGCAGTAATATTTTGGGCAAGATATTTGTGCTTTTCTGGATACTTTGGGTGGCTTGATTTTTAGCCATTGGAGAAGTGAGCCATGAGATCAGATTTCTCCAACCTTATCTCAAGAAACAATTTAAATATGTAAAAGGCCCAAATATATACCATGCAGACTTTTAACTAATAAGGGAAGAATATGGTAAACTCTGGCTGTTGATGTGGAAGGATCATAGCAGAGTTGGGATGCCCTGGAAAGGGGTGTTTGGGTGCACAGGTGGGGTGACTTACTTAGTTTAACTCCTGGGGCCCAAGCATCTATAAGGGCTCACAAGTACCTTCATGTAAGGACTTGTCAGCCCTCAAGCTTTCAGTCTTCTATGGTAGCTACCATCCTTAGATGAGAAGAGACTCACCTGCCATCCTAGGTCTTGGAAGCTTACGTAGAGCTCATGCTTTCTGCAGGCTGTTTTTAATTCACTGCTGTTGTAATCTGTTAGAGCAAAAGATGGATCCATTAACTCATCCATTCATTCTTTCATTTAAAAGTTGACATGGTATGTTTGCTGTGTGACAGGCATTGTACTGAGTCTGGGGAGAACACTGAACAAGTCACCTGCAAGACCCACATTTACTCACCAAACAGCTTAAGTCACTGATAAATGCATGCTATATGCCCCCTCTGGTCCATGTAGGCTCACCACTGGTGCATACTACCTAAGTGCTGACTTGAATAGAGTCCTTTATTATGAGCCCTGTTGAGTGACAGTGCTGTGGGCCTGTGTGTACGTGTGTGTGTGTGTGGTGAGGAGTGTCAGGACACCCAGAACCCCAAGGCTCTTGATTTGGAAAACGTTTCACATTCAATAGACCACTGTACCAAAATTGGGTAAATCTCAATCAGGGACAGTGCACAGGTGCTTTGAAGAGAGCTGCTGGGCAAAGACAGTATGCTGAAGAAAGCATGATGGAAGCAGGAGAAACCAGGAGAGCAAGGAATCGGGGAGATAAGGAGACCTGCAGCAGGAACCAAGGTCAACAGCATTGTTCATCCTCCAGTCTCATCCCAATGTTAAGCTTTTAGACCTGCCTTACAGCAATGACTATTAAGCCAGTAGTTCCCCTGTAGAAGCTTCTGTATTTGCACTATGCAATAAAGGAGTGGCCAAAAACCAAACCAAACCCACTGCCATAGAGTTGCTTCCTATTCATCAACCATATAGTACAGAGCAGAACTTCCCAATAGGGTTTCTAAGGCTGTAATCTTTATGGAAGCAGACTGCCACATCTTTCTCCCATGGAGCACCTGGTGGGTTTGAAGCACCAACGTTCTGGTGAGCAGCCAAATGCTTTAACCACTGCACCACGAGAAATCCTACAGGAGTGGCTGGCCTAGCTTAACTAATAACTGTGACCAGATTCATTGAGGTGAGTCAGAGCAGCTATTATGTGACTGACATGCCTTCTGCTAGGAGCCGCAGGAAATAAGGAGGCAAAGGTAGACATGGCCTCTATCCTTCAAGAACTTAAAGAATTGAAAAGGTGGTGTATATGTTTTCATGTATATAAACAACCAAATATAAAGTAGAATATGAATGCTATGGGAAAGGGCCCTAGAAAAAGACCATATAGGGTTCAGAGAAGGGAGAGTTCAGGGGGAACCAGAGGAAAGGAGAGTAGCCCTGGAATGAGTTCAATGACTGGATTGAGGATATATAGAGGAATCAGACCAGGAAGAAGGGCCTGCTGTTGAGTCGGATCTGACTCATAGCAACTCCTCCTTGGGTTTCCAATGTGGTATCACTACAGAAGTTGATTGCCCAACCTTCCTTTAGAGGAGTGGCTGGTGGGTTTGAACCGCCAGCCTTCTGGTTAGCAGTCAAATGCTTTAGGCACTACATTACCAGAGCTCCTACTTAAGAAATTTAGCCAATGAAAATCCTGCAGATCACAATAGAATATTGTCTGGTATAGTGCTGAAAGATGAGTCCCGTAGGTAGATGGCACTGAAAATGTACAGTGGCTGTACCAATGGGTTCAAGTACATCAAGAATCATGAAGATGGTATAGAACTTGGCAATGCTGGGTCATCACAAGTCAGAGCAGATTCCACAACAACAACAAATAAGGTGAGATAGTGTTGGAGAAATAAATGGTCTAGGATGCCAACCAAAATGATTTGTACTTTCTAGAAAGGCCACAAGAAAGCCCTTAGAAGTTTTTGAGCCAGCGTGACACGTTCAGAATTATGATTCTAAAGGGTCAACCTGGTAGGATGTTTGAGAGTTCTAGAGAGGAGAGAGAAGTGAAAGGTGAGGAAAGCACTTTGGAGAAAGGTTCTAAAATGGACTTCAGTGGACACAAGAACCTTGATGCCATGTGCATGTTACCTCTGTACCTTTCAGTCTCATGAGCCAAGAAATTACCTCATTGTTTAAAGCCTGTTTGAATCAGGTTTTCGTTACTTGTGATCCAGGACCTCCTGCCCTTGAGGCAGGAGACAGCATAGCAGCTTTGTAAGGGAATGGGAAAACAGTACAGTTCAGCCTAGTCAGCTAAGATGGAGGACACATAGGTCCCTTTTCTGAGGTGGTTTGCTGATTCTAAATGTATTCATTCCTCTCACCAGCCTACCTCACCTCATAGAACCACCAAGCTGTAACTGCAAGTCTCCTGGAAGAAGCAAATGCAAAGCCACATTGGGAAAATTTTTGCAACTCAGCACAACAAGGACTCTCAGTAAAAACAAACAATAACCACAGAACAAGACAGAAACCTCCTGCTGAAAATAACCTTACAACGAAAAAGAAAGAGCTACACAAAGAAACGCTCTATCATGAAAGGAGAGTTAGAAAGCAAAAGTCAGGACACCCAGGGATGCAGGTAAGTCTCTGAAAGAGGTTAGAAAACAAGAATAATTAAAATAATGGAAGAGATTTCTTAGGAAAAAAAAAGTGTGTGTGTGTGTGGGGGGGGGGCTTTGGGGGAATAGAAACCACAAAGACCATTATGGAAAACTAATATAGGGGGAAAAAAGAAAAAAGTAGAACTTTATAAAAACTATAATCATGGAAAATAAAAATTAAATGGAGGTCTTAAACATCAGATTAGACATAACTGAAGAGAGAGTTAAAGAACTGAATAATATATTTGAAGAACCTCCCAAAAGAGAGCATGAGTCAAATAAATGGCCAGAATATATAATTTACTCTCTGTAAAGAGACAGGAAAGATAGAATGAAAAAAGTCCTATATATTTCTAATGGGAATTGCAGAAGAGAATAATAGGAAGAAATAATATTTGAAGATTTATTGGCTGGGAATTTTCTAGATCTGAAGAAAGACAAACTGCTTTAGATTAGAAAGGCATGAATCCTAAACAGGATAAATATATTCATATCTAGCCACATTTGGTGAAACTAGAATATCAAACACATAAATTTTTAAAAGCAATCAGAGATAAAAAGGAAATTTCATACAAAAGAACACAATGTAAATTGATAGCCGACTTCTTAAAAACAATAATGTACAACATAAGTTGTTGTTGTTATTTGCCATCGAGTCAGCCCCAACTCATAGCGACCTCTCCTTGGGTTTCCAAGGTGCTATCACTACAGAAGTAGATTGCCCAACCTTCCTTCCGAGGAGTGGCTGGTGGGTTTGAACCACTAGCCTTCTGGTTATCAGTCCAGTGCCTTAGGCACTATGCTACCAGAGCTCCCACAACATAAGTAATACAAAATACCAACCTAGAATGCCATCTCAATTATAGTGGATATTGATTGTTTTAATTACCTAATATCCAGTTACACTTCCCATTTGGGGGAATTCCTAGATAGGTGGGAATATATAACTTGAGGGAGTGACTCAAAGGTGAAAACAGGAAAGGGTGGGCATGGCAGTGAGTGTCCAGAGTGATGACCTGGTGGTAACATTTAAAGCAGACCCTAGCTGAGTCTCAATTCTTGGAGTTTGGTTCTCCAGGAGACTTCCCTGGTACCCTTAAAATAAATTACTTTGCAGTTAGTAAATTAGAGTTTGCTTATAGTGTATGTAATCAAGAGCTCTGACCAATAGTGAGGGGATAGGGAGTGCAAGGTAGGAACGGGGTCACTATTATATAGGGTTGACGAGCCTGTTTCTCAGTAAGGTATCGTTTAAGCACAGACCTGGAGGAAATTAGAGACTGAGGCAGGAGGCTGTTTGGGGGAAGAATGTTCTGTACAGCAGGAATGATAAATGCAAAGGAAGGTCTGAAGATGTAGCCTACTTGGCATATTCAAGGAACTGTCTGCTATGTGTTTACTAAAATCTATTTCCTCTATCCCCTGGGCACACAGCCCAATCTGATGACATTGTCCACTGCAGTTAGATGTGGCCGTATGACTGAGTTGTCTCCACGGATTGTGGGGAGAAGGGAGATGTCACTTCTAGGCTCTTTCCTCTCTGCCAGCTGGATTCAGAGTCTAGGAGAAGACTACAAGCTTCTGGCCACTTTTCACTCTGGAAGGTGCCCTGTGTCAGATGATGAAGTATATGACCACCTACTTAGTCTCAGCCTGGGGTTTTCCCTGCCCAACCTCGTTTTGCCAGAGCTCTCTCAAAGTAAGCTTCTTCAAAATACCTTTTCTGTTCTAGGGACCACAACTTTCCCAAAGCCAAGCCTGGAGACACTGGCAGTGACTTCTGGACATTCTAAGATCAGGCACCATGAGCAGGGAAAATCTCTTCACGGCTGGATTTTGTGTTTCTCTTTAGGCTGGAAGGAACCATGACGACATCATGGATGGAGCCTCACTATCTTCACCAATAAGTTATTTTTGTGAACTTGCTGCTAATTTGAGTTTCTCAATGCTCAACAAAGAGAACTTTCTCTGTAAGAACAGCTATTTCTTTTAGAGCCAAACACTGGCATTTTTGTTGTTAAGTAAGGATCAGGGCCAGAGAGAAGAAAGGGAGGAATTCAACTCTTCTGTTTTTCTTCCTACAGATACTCTCAAGCTTTGATTACATTTCCTTATAACTCCATGTTAAGTGCTGGCGAGGAATAGGTAAATATTTGTGGAGGTCAGTGCTCCTAAGAATACCTGTGTATGTCTCTCAGGTGTCAGCATTCTGGGTTCTGCAGTGTAATTACACTGTCACTTTTTTCTTTTTTTGGAGGAATCGACAGAATTCAGGAAAATATCCCTCCCTCCCAGCCCTGAATTTGTTTAGATAAATGGTCTGTATGGGGCCAGTAGGAGCTCTGGTAGCATAGTGGCTAAAGCACTAGACTGCTAACCAGAAGGCTGGTGGTTCAAACCCACCAGCCACTCCTTGGAAGGAAGGTTGGGCAATCCTACTTCCGTAGTGATACTGCCTTGGAAACCCAAGGAGGGGTCGCTATGAGTCAGAGCCGACTCGATGACATGTAACAACAACAACAAAATGGGGCCAATAAAAATTTATGCAGTTAATACTTAAGAGGAACATGTCCACTTCAGTGGGATAA